GTTATAATATGCTTATACGTAGATGATATGCTCATTATTGGTACAGTATAGATGAAACTCAAAAGTATCTATCTTCTCAGTTTAAAATGAAAGATTTGGGAAAAGTGGATACAATTTTAGATATCAAAGTGATTAAACATAATTGGGGTTATACTTTAAGTCAATATCACTATGCGGAGAAAGTCATTCAAAAATACTAGTATTTGGGAATTAAAGAGTCAAATGTACCATATGATGTATCAATTAAATTGATGGTAAATACCGGGCAACCTTTAGCACAATTATAATATGCTAATGCAATTGGAAGTCTGATGTACGCTATGCATTGTACTAGACCGGATATATCATTTATTGTCTGTAAATTGTCCAAATTTACTAGTAATCCTAGTACTATGCATTGGAAGGCTATAAATAGAATTCTTGGTTATTTAAAGAAAACAATGCATTATGGTCTATTTTACGAAAGAAAACCAGCAATACTAGAAGGATATTCATATGCTAGTTGGATAACTAGCCCAATTGATAACAAGTCAACATCTAGGTGGGTCTTCAAGCTTGCAAATGGTGTAGTTTCTTAGACATCAAAGAAGCAAACATGTATAGCTCATTCAACGACGGAATCTGAATTCATATCACTATCGGCGGCCGGAAAAGAGGCTGAATGATTGCGGAATTTGCTATTGGATATAGAGTTGTGGCCACAACCAATGGCAGCTATATCTTTACATTGTGATAGTGAGGCAACTATGTATAAGGGTGCGTTTGTTTGAGGGAAAGTGTTTTCTGGGAATCCATTTTCCGAAATTTCACCCGTTTAGTTCACCGAAAATGAAAAGTCAACCGAAAACACTTTCCAGTCAAGGAAAATATTCATGTATAAAATTAGGAAAGTTAATTTCCTAATCTAAGAAGGTGAAAACACTTTTCAGAATTACTCATCTTGAATTTATTTTACTGTTCTTTTCTTTTTCTTTTTCTTTTTCTTTTTCTTTCTTTTTTCTTTTTTCTTTTCTTTCTTTTTCTTTTTTCTTTTTCCTTCTTCCTTCCTTCGCTGGTCGCCGGCCTTGGCAACAAGCCACAAGCGCGGGTTGGTGACACAAACACATTTTGAAATCATTTTCCAAATGAGATCCCCCAGAAAACTTTTTCGATCGCATATTACCAAACAAAAGAAAGCTAACCATTTTCCTAGAAATTGATTTCCTGGAAAACACTTTCTAGAAACATTGTGTTTTCCGTAAAACAAACGCAACCTAAGGCATACAATAAAATATACAATGGAAAATCTAGACGTATTAGTTTGCGACATTAAATATGTTCGACAAATTAATTACTGATGGAATTATTTCAGTAATTTATGTTTGGACAAATAATAACTTGGATGATCCATTCACTAATGGACTCTCGAGAGGTTTAATTAGTAGCACTGCCCAGGGAATGGGTCTTAGACCAATTGATAATAGTCAAGCATAGTGGAAAACCAACTTTATAATTTCTAATGAAATTATTAAAGTTAATATTGTAACTTGATGGTGATCGAGTACTGGGGCAAAAGGTTAGTACTCATGGAAAGTTAGGAGGGTGAGTGTAAGAAACACTCTTAATGAAGTTCAAGATTTTAGCAAGGCAATGCTAAGGTAATAATTTAAGAACTTTACCTATATGAACATAAGAAGTGGTGCCGCTTCTAACAAAAGTCAGATGAACTTTTGTAAATGTTCAAGAATGCAGGAGGGAGCACAAGGCCATAAAAGTTCTTAGGCATAGGAAATTTCTAACCGAATGTGTATAAATTCATATGTGTGATAATTTGATTAACAAGCGAAATCATGGTCAAAGTTTATCTACCACTTATTTCGTTAATACGATTATTTACACTAATTGAAGGTTCAAATCTTAGCGGATACCTTCTTGTATGTATGAATTTATGTAAATTAGTGCATATAACAAACTAAGTGGGGGATTGTTGAAATAGTTTGTTATCATAAAAGATGTGATTCTTGGTTAAGAGAAGACATGACTCTTGATTATGAAAAGAGGTGACTCTTCTTCTCAAAAAAGAGGTTATCGGTTGTTATGAAAGAAAATTATTCTTAACATGAAGAGTGGTGATGGTTGGGGATAAGGTACCTATTCCCTAGAGGTGTGTTGATTGCTTGTCTGTGAATAGAGACCAAATCGCATATTATTTAATATAACCACAATTGTTCATAACTACAACTTCTTCGGAACTCTTTCTTCTTCTCTTTTTATACACACAATTTTGACAACACATTCAAGGTGAAATTCTAATAGAGAAATTGAGTAATTGTTAAACTCGTTTCTTTGCGTCTTTGGTGTATATCCTAGAGGTATATTTATTCTAAACTCGACAGCAACAATAGTGTGCGCAAATAATATCTTAAGGACAGTGATTGTTGTCACGCATCAAAGCATCAAGGATCTATTACTATTTTTCTATCTTAATCAGCAATCAAATTTCCCCAACAGGTTGTTCGTTTCACGCTACATCAAACAACTTTTTTACTACGTATCAATGCATAGATAGTAGTAAAGTGGAGTTGGGGAACAACGCTGAGTGCAATGTTGTGGATGCTAGTGATATTAAAATTAGAATGCATATTAGTGTATTGTGAGGACATTGATTGGAGTGAGACATGTTCCAGAGTTGAAAAAAAACTTGATTTCTTTGAGTGCATTGGATTCAGCTGGGTGTCAGTATTCTTCAGAATGTGAAGTTCTGAAAATTGTTCAAGTTGCCTTAGTGAAAATGAAAGGAATCAAGCACAATGGTCTCTATGAACTTCAAGGTGAGATAGTGACAGAATTCATTGTGTAGACGTTAGAGGCATCTGCTTGAGAGTTTGAACTATGACATATGCGTTTGGGGCACATTAGCGAGAGAAGCCTGAAAATTCTAAGTGAAAGGAATTTGTTGTGTGGTTATATTGCTAACGAACTAAATGTATGCAGGTGCTGTGACTTAGATCAATGGTGGAAAGTGCACTTCAGTGCGATTATTAGAGAAACCACAAATATTACGGAGTTAATTCACTTGAATGTTCGTAGGTTGTTGCGGTTTCCTTCAAGAAAGAGTACCAGATTTATGCTAATAGTTGTGGATGGGTACTTGAGAAAGATATGGGTGTTTGTTCTTAGGCATGAGTTTGATGCTATTGTTAGAATCAAGCAGTTGAGAGCTTTGATTGAAAATAAGACTGGTATAGTGAGACACCGCATTAGTGTCAACAAACCACAACAGGTTGTAGAGTTGAATAGCAGAACATTACTAGAGATGGCCCATAAAATGTTCTATAGTACTAATATGGCTAGGAGATTCCTAGCGGATGCACCTAGTACGACGAGCTATCTGAAGAATAGATCCCCATAAACTACAATTGGAAATCGGACTCCCAAAGAAGTATGGTCAGGTAACGTTGCTGATTATTCTATTATTAGAATATATGGTTGCTCATGTTATATTCGAGTGAGTGATGGTAACCTCGATGAAAGGGCAAGAAAGTGCATGTTCCTAGGTTATGCACAAGATGAGTGGAGCTATTGGTTGTGGTGTTCGGAATTAAATTCATCTATTGTTAGCAAAGAAGTTGCATTTGATGAGTCTTTAGTACTTCTGGATATGAGTGTTATTGGCAGTGTGTTATATGGATGTGGGTGGTGTTCAGCTTAAGGTGGAATTGCAACCAGAAACTCCTGAGGTAACAAGTACTAGAGAAGTAATTGACATAGACGGTGCTTATAGCGAGGTGGAGCCTGAAAAGCAAACAATTGTTGTAACTGCTGATATTGACAAGGTATGTGTTCAATCTCTTGACAAATATAGATGCAACAATGGTTTTGCTTTATCTGAGGTTGTGTCAAAATATCATTATGCAGCAATTAAAGGTGCAAGTAAAGTTGGTGTTTTGATGAAGTCCACGGTTATGGCGAAGTTCAAGCGAAGCTTGGACTTGGAAGATGTCTATGGCGGTTGAGCCCATTGAGGTTGTAGGAGAGTAGGAGCAAAGTTCAAATTTTTGCGAAGCAATTGTGACTTGGCTCAAATGTCGAATCTCGAATTTGAGCCCGTTGAACGAACCCTACCCGATTTGATTTTTTTGTATAAGGCCGGTGTAAGAAAATATAATATTGCAGATTACGGATATTGTTTTCGATGCTCAAGTCGTGATAAATAATCAAGATAGTTTCTAGATTGAAGTTGGAGTCTAAGGCTTGAAATTGGAAAATCCAACATGCACTTTGAGTTAATAATTGACTCGGTCAACAATGGGTCAGAGAAAGAAGAAACAAAATATACAGAACTATTCTGTGTTTTTGGATTTGGCCTAGGAGAGTAGAAAATTGAGGAAGGTTAACCGTGTCTCACAGATTTGCTTCTCCTGATTGAATTTGGCAATATATATATTTCTTGAACTTGGCCTGGAAAAAAAAACTCTTGAAGTGCCGATTTCATCGAGTTCTTGGGGTTTATCTTCGTGGGTTTTGTTCGTGGAATTACACAAAGAATTTATGTGTTTAAGATAATTAAATTTTGTGTTAAGATTTGTTAATTCGTTCGTGAAATGAAAATATTATTTAATGAGGAATTGTGGGCTAACACTATGTAAGTTATTGGGTGTAATTGGAGCTTGGAAAACATCGAGAGAGTTTGAGGTGATTCGAGTGTGGTTGTAATCTCCATTGTATCGTTTGATTTATAGTGAAATTCGTTACTGCTCTCACCATGGACGTAAGTCATTATGACTGAATCATGTAAATTTCATGCTCGATTTACTTTCTTAAGCTATCTATTTTTACTGTTCAATCGCTTCTTCTCGTGATAAGATCTGTGGTACCTCAGCGTCAATCCAAACTCGCTGGATAACACCAGATTGGATAAAACCTGAGCCCTCGCAGTGCAACTTGGGACATGGACTGGTCAACGACTAACTACTGGTCTTCTTAAACGCCAAACTCATAAAAATAAAGGAGTACCAGAGCGAGGCCTCCAATGGCCGCTCCTCCTAAGAAACTTCCCATATGATGACTAACAAGTTTGGCCGCAGGATAAGTTTTAACTACGACTTTTGTAATGTATCACTTAAGGATCTCTCTCTTCTTTTCGTTCATCTCATTCTCCGTTGTTGCTTCTAAGACCAAGAAACTCCTCTCCCTTTTTACCTCTTCGAAAAATCCAGAAAAGAAAAAAACTGAGAAAAGCATCCTCTGCAAATCTCGGGACTGGTGACCCATCGAAAGTTTTGGATTTCTTGACTTGTTTGGTCTTTGAAGACGGAAAGAACCAGAGATGCCGGTTGATTTTGCAGGAGCTGCTGTGGGAACAGCATTCGGCGAGCTGTTCTCTGTCGTTGAGAACGTACTGCAAACCGTTAGAGCATTTGGTCCCCAGCTGAAGAAGATCAACAACACCTTGAGCAAAATCGACCCAATCATCAAGGATTGGGACGAGTACAACAGACGGCTGGACCGTAGTCTGACAGATATGCGTCCGATCAAGGCCCTATTGAATAAAGGCAAAAACCTGGTCGAGAAGTGTTCAAGGATCAACCCGCTCAACGTTTTCCAGAAGTATATGCACTCGAAAAAGCTGACCAAGTTTGATGCAGAAGTCCTGAGGGAGTTCCAGATTTACATCCCACTGCTGAATGCGAGAAACAACAGCGAGATATTGTGGGAGGTGAAGGAGATGAGGATGGAATTCAAAGAGTTGATCCGTTTTGGTCAAGTGAGCGGCGGGGCCCTCCAGAGCGGGCTCGGGGCTTCAGGCAACCTCGCAGTCCCTGAGGCACCCGATTTCATTGTCGGGTTGGAGGTAGAGGCGTCCTTGAGGAAGCTCAAGGGGCGGTTGCTCGAGGAGGGAGTGTCTGTGATTGTTGTGACCGCCCCAGGCGGCTGCGGGAAGACCACTCTGCTTACGAAGTTGTGTCATGACATGGACATTGAAGGTATGTGTGATTAGGGTTTTGATTGATCCAGAACTAATTAAAGTAGGGATGAATTCATTGATTGATCCCTGCCAATCGGTCACCTCAATAGCTTTTGGTTAGCCATTTATGTGTATAGGAGCTATTGCCTGAACAATGTTCCACTTGTGCACACATATTGGAGTGATTGAATCCCATTACCTGTTCTTTCTGTCAAGCAATAAAGTTCCTTGTAGATGTGAATGTTTGCACAAAGAACTACTTGGGTTTTATGCAAATGGATGTTTCATCGTTTAAAACAATAGTTTTCTCATGGTTTATTTTCGGGTTTGATATCATGTCCAATCTGATATATCTTTCCCAAGCAAATGCAATAACTCACCTCTGTTTGATTCTGCTGAGTGCCTTCCTTAATCAGTTGAACCCTCCTCTTCACACGCCATAGGATTCGCACTCATTTTTTCTGTTATACGGTATCTTCTTAGCTCAGCTTCTTATTCTACCAAATTCAATAAACTAGAAGTGTCGTGGCAAATTTTCATGCTCTTTGCAAGTGATAGGAGTCAAACTTACTGTGGTTTGCATATAGGCAAATTCAACAACAACATCATGTTCGTCCCTGTCTCAAAGAAGCCCAACCTGATAGACATTATCAGGAAAATGATTCAGCATAAGGGTTTCAAGGTACCTGTGATTGAAACAGAAGATCATGCAGTTCATTACTTGCAGCGACTGCTCATCATAATAGGACAGAATCCTGTGTTGCTTGTGCTGGACGATGTCTGGACCAACTCACATTCCATAATTGAGAAATTTGTCTTCAAGGAGATCAAACATTACAAGATTGTGGTGACATCAAGATACGAGTTTCCTGCTTATCGTCCTGTGCATCACCTGAACCCACTGACTCATGGCGAAGCCCTGGAACTTTTTCGTCAATCTGTTACTGTTGATGATAGTAGCATGGATGCACCAGATGATGAGCTCTTGGAACAGGTTTACTCTTGCTCGAGTACATCCATTATAGGATTTCTTATGGTTATCGAAACTGAGTTTAACTTTTTTCTTGAAAGAAATTGTTCAATGAAATTTAACCTGCCTATCGTTACTTTGATCTCTTTATGATCAAATAGAGGCCTTGGTTTGTCTAATCACCATTCCTGTCAAAGTTCCCATAATTGTTTCTGTTTTCTTTTTCTGTGGCAGATAGTGAAACGCTGCAAGGGATTGCCATTGGCTCTTACAGTCATTGCCAAGTCTCTCCGAGGAAAGGATCGTTCGTTCTGGGAAACAAAGCTTCTTGATTGGTCCTGTTCGGGTTTGGACAGTGACATTCTAGATTGCCTCAGAAAAAGCTTGGATGACTTGGATGGTAACCCTTCGATCAAGGAACGTTTCATGGACCTCGGCTTGTTTCCGGAGGATCGCAAGATCCCTGCCACTGTGCTTATTGATATGTGGGTGGAATTGTACAAGCTAGATTTCGATGGGGTGCATGCCATTGCTGACCTCAATAAACTCGTTTACAGGAACCTAGCTGATCTCGTAGTCACCAGGTATGGCTCTGAAGTTCGTTTTGTTCTCTCATTCTAACTTTCCTAGTTTTCTACTGCTCTAAGAGTACCTCATCAGATTCTAGTTGGCATATGATTAGTTTTCCCTGATATGTGATAGCTGAAATGCGTCTGTGAAATGGACAAAGGCATGATCAGATCTTTGCACCAAGATTGAGAGAGTAAATTACGCGCAACCTAACTTTCTGTTTCCCCAAAAATGGGCATAATAGATATTTAGAATCCACACCATAATTACCGCACCTGACGTTCAGCTATAGTGTGTTCGTCATTGTAAAGGTCAAGTGGATTATGCAAAGGTCTGTAAAGAACATTTTTATCTCCTGACTTAATTTCTTAAACGTGGGAAGGATCATATGTCTTTCTTTACTAGTAAATTGGTATCATCAAATGCCTTGCATTAGATTTGAGCACCAAAACTCGAGTGCAAATGGTTATATCCGAGTGTTTGATTGCATACATACAGGAGAGATTCAAGTGAGGACGAGGACAAATGTTACAGCAGCCACTATGCTATGCAGCATGATCTGCTCAGAGAGTTGGCTATCGTGGAGTGCAACCAGCAGGGGGAAGTAGAGAAGAGAGAGAGACTTATTCTGGACTTGACCGGAAATAATTTTCCCGATTGGTGGAGCGAGCAAAAGCAGCTGACTCTCGGTGCTCGTCTAGTGTCCATCTCCACAGGTTGGGAACTCTCTCTCTCTCTCTCTCTCTCTCACACACAATGACCTCCAGGGAAAAATTCAGTTGGTAGTTAAATTACCTTTTAACCTTCTATGTTCATAATGCAGATGGAACATTCTCAACACCCTGGCCAAATCTTGAATTGCCTGAAGCTGAGGCTCTTGTCCTGAACTTCGAGACCAACATTCAAACCAAAACTTATGCTTTGCCGAAATTCATTGAGAAAGCAGATAAGCTGAAGGCCCTCATAATAACAAACTATAGTTTCTTTCCAGCTGAGTTGGGCAATTTTCATGTCGTTGGGTCCAATTTAAGGAGGATCAGGCTCGAGCGCATCACCGTTCCTTTCCTGAGCATGGGAAAGCTACGCCTACACAGTCTACGAAAGATATCATTTTTCATGTGCGACATCAGTCAGGCTTCGACGTCTGACGACACCAAAATCTCCGATGCAATGCCAAACTTAGTGGAGCTCCACATCGACTATTGCAACGATCTTATGACATTACCGGATGGCATCTGTGAGATAAAGCCTCTGAGAAAGCTTAGCATCACAAACTGCCATAATTTCTCAGAACTCCCTGAACAGATTGGGCAATCGGCGTCCCTCGAAGTGGTTAGGCTTAATTCCTGCACAAACTTGTCGCAGTTACCGGACTCTATTGGAACCCTCGAAAAATTGATATCTCTCAATATATCTGATTGCCTGAGTCTGAGCACTTTGCCCAATCAAATTGGTCAACTAGTTAGTCTAAAGAGGATGAACATGAAAGGATGTTTGAGGTTGTCTGAGTTGCCACGGTCAATCGTGAAGCTGAGAAACTTGAGGAAGGTGGTTTGTGACAAAGGGAAAGAAGTCCTGTGGGAGCCTCTCAAGAGTAGTCTCAATGCCTTGAATATAATAGCGTCCAAAGAAGAAGAGGCTAACTTAGATTGGCTGCGTGATTAAGAAGAAGGCGATCAACCTCGCTGGACTTTTTTTCCATATTAAATGTTGTCTTTGTACTATTTTTTTAATTTTGTGTTGTTTGTTAAATTTATTTCTTGTACTTAGCCTCTTTTTTTTTTTTTTTAATGTTGAGGGCCGTGGCTGATCGGACCAAATAATAGATGAGTAGCGCCACACCATTTTTTTAATGTTTCTGAGTCAGAATTGTTTTCCTTTTACCTTTTCTTCTTTCCATTTCTTTTCTTTCTTTCTCCTTCCTCCTCCTCCGTCTGGCACCCAGAACGCCGCTGCAAATCATAACCACCGTGTGCCTACCGTCACTGTCGTCACCGAGGCCTAACTTGTGGCGCCTTACCACCATCACGACTTCAGCATCACCTTTTCTCTCTCTCTCTCTCTCTCTCTCTCTCTCTGACCAAAAGATTCTCTCTATCTCTCAAATTTGTATTAGGATTCGCCGCACAATTACAAAGAAATTAAAGAATAAAAGCGAAAAAGAGAATTTGAGACGTGGGATTTTATCCTAGTTCACGCTTAAATTAGGGCTATGTCCGGTTAAGGATTCCACTATAATTAGCACATCGCACTTCTCTGTTACATCTCTCAATTACAAAATGAAGAATATATATAGGCAGTAATTTGATTCAAAATAGGAATATGAGGTCGTGGCAGCCTTAAATCGGAGATCACGACCTCGAATATGAGGTTACATGTCTCAAATCTGATGAGAGAGAGAGAGAGAGGTGCTTGCAATGTCGTGTGAGTGAAGCTTTTGGTGGTGTTCAAGCCCAGCTTTAGTGTGGTAGTGGGGAAAATTGTCAAATCAGTCCTAAACCTATTGTACGGCGGCCAATTTAGTCCTAAACCTTTTAATTTTGCCAATTCAGTTATAAACCTTTCTAATTCTTGCCAATTCAGTCCTTCCGGCCAATTTTGGCCGGCCGGCGCTGACGTGGCCGCCGGCCGGCGCCGGCCGTCCGGTCAACGCTGACGTGGCAATTTTTAATTATTTTTTTTTCAATTTTTTAATATTTTTTTTCTTTTTCTTTTTTTTTTTTCTGCTGCCTCCCCTCTGGCCGGTCCGGCGACCGGCGGCCGGCCAGAGGGGAGGGCCGGCGAGGCCTCTAGCGAAGCTCGCCCCGCCGGCCACCGGCAAGGGCGAGCCTCGCCGGCCCCGGGCCGGGCGAGGCCGGGTCGGCCTCGCCTCGCCGTCGCGACCCGGGCGACGGCGAGGTCGAGCCTCGCTAGATCCGGGCGAGGCTCGACCTCGCCGTCGAAATCCAAGCGACGGCGAGGCGAGGCGAGGTCGAGCCTCGCCGTCGCCGCGGGTCGCGACGGCGAGGTCGAGCCTTGCCCGGATCCGGCGAGGCTCGACCTCGCCTCGCCGTCGCAACCCGGACGACGGTGAGGCTCAACCTCGCCTCGCCTCGCCGTCGCCCGGGTCGCGACGGCGAGGCGAGGTGAGGCGAGGTCGAGCCTCGCCGGATCCGGGCGAGGCTCGACCTCGCCGTGCCCGGGTCGCGACGGCGAGGCGAGGCGAGGTTGAGCCTCGCCGTCGCCCGGGTTGCAACGGGGAGGCGAGGCTCGCCCTCGCCGGTGGCCGGCGGGGCGAGCTTCGCCAGAGGCCTCGCCGGCCCTCCCCTCTGGCCGGCCGCCGGTCGCCGGACCGGCCAGAGGGTAGGCAGCAAAAAAAAAAAAGATTAAAAAATTGAAAAATTAATTAAAAATTGCCACGTCAATGTTGACCAGACGGCCGGCGCCGGCCGGCGGCCACGTCAGCGCCGGCCGGCCAAAATTGGCCGGAAGGACTGAATTGGCAAGAATTAGAAAGGTTTATAATTGAATTGGCAAAATTAAAAGGTTTAGGACTGAATTGGCCGCCGTACAATAGGTTTAGGACTGATTTGACAATTTTCCCTGTGGTAGTGGCTGTATTTGTGGTGCATCGGCGGACAATCGTTGCCGGTGGTGGCGTTGCTTCGGCAATGGTGGTGCTGCGGGGGAAGACTAGTAGAGTATAAAAGGAGGTAGGAGAGAGAGAAGCATGCAGCAAAAAATTAAGGCTTATTGAGGTTTGGATTATTTATTTAGTTCTTGTAAATTCCACGAATGGAAATGACTTTAGTTGTCCCTAATTATTTTACAGGATCCCCATCTTTATTATTAAGTCATCCACCCTCTGGATGAACCTTTTTGACTAGGAATAGATAATTAATTTGGCAACTGGGTAAGGTCTTGGTTTTCATAACTTATTCAACGGATAAAGGATGGGGAAAATAATAAATTCAATAACTTTTTACTTCGACCGGTCATGTTGTTGGGTCACATGGACATGTTGTGATGTGCATATCATGTAGAATAAAAGACAGGTCCTTGAAATTTAACTTAATCACTTTTGTCAAGTCTTGTGTGACATAGAGAAATAAATCGAAAAATAAAAAAAATTATAAACTGCAGTAACCACCGTGCTTAAATAAAAAAAGGATTAATATCACGAAAAACCTCAAACCGGTACACCTGTAACAAATTTACCTTGAACTAAATTTTTTACCACAAAAAATCAGAGACTGGTACACCTGTGATAAATTTACTCCAAACTAATTTTTTGATCACCAAAAACGCCTAACTAGTATATTTGTGACAAATTTACTCTCCGTTAATTGGATTAATATCACCAAAAATCACAAATTGATAAACCTATGACAAATGGAGAGGTAAAACTCTAAATTGATATGCTCGTCAACTGCCACGTGTCATAACTTCAGCAATTTAACGGTAAAATTTAATGAAAATTAATGGAGAGTAAATTTGTCACAGGTATACCAATTTGGGATTTTTGGTGGTAAAAAAATTAGTTTCATAGGTGTACCAGTTTGAAGTTTTTCGTGATATTAACCTAAAAAAAATATGTATTACTTCCTGCGGAATTATTTGTAAGAAATTTCTCGTCTTTGGTGTGAACTTGGACTATATTATTGTTCCTTCTAGATGGATTGGAGTGTCGTTGATTGGCTACTGGTGTGAAAAGAAGAAGAGAAGGTATGAAGAATCAAAATTCTGTGAAACTTCGAGGTATGAGCTGATGAATTTTCTGCGTAGGGTCCAAGCAAAATGGCGACGTCGCTGAGGTCGTCTTCTTGATGCAGTCCAGCTGACGTTGGACAGGCAAGGCTTAGCACACGTGATGTCATTGTACCACCACGATGTTTTATCGTCCAACGCGTTACTTCATGGTTGGTTTCTTCCTGGAATGTTGTGGCCTTTACGCAGTCTACGTCTCTGACGTTTTTCATCCCCAGCATGCATATGAATATTCTCAAGTTAATCTGATTTGAACAAGTGAAAATTATGACTCAAAACAGAAATTCTTATGCCATGATGCATCCAATTCAAAGAAGTTAAGTTATTGCAATAGAGAAATATATAGATAGTGCGGGGACCGGGATCGACTAAATTTAAGAGGTAAACATTGTTTGATTAAGCAATCAAGAGAGGGGTGAATTGGTTCTTTTAAGAGAACAGAGACTAATTTTATAGAATCAACCCCAATAAATATATGCTTCTACGCGGAAAATGAACTAGTAATATAAACATCGATTAAAAAAAAACTAGCGATATAAAATTAAAGAGTCTTAGGAAATCAAAGGCTTTGTAGGGATGCTTGCCCTTCTCCACACGTAACAGAACTCCCTATCTACAAATCTTTGATTTCACAATAGACCAGTCACCTACATATGCACAGCTATATAGTTTACTTCTCTAAAATTTAGGATATTGGGGTCTAATCGGCCTAGATTAATAAATCCGATTAAATCCCCAAAAACACTCCTGTCTTGTATACCGCGCTGCCTCAATATTGTGGGGAAGGGTCCTAATGAGCCCACCTCTAGAGCGGCGCGATGCCGAACACTAGTGGTGCACCCGAGCTCCCAAATTTCACTGTGAAGCGGGATGTCTGCACATATAAATGTTTTTATGGACGTATGTATAAAGAAAGAGAGGGTGGTTGGTTAAAATGTTTTCAATTTTTGGTGGGATTTTCTAAGTTTACCATAAAACCTAAAGAAAAAACCTTAAAAAAAACCCCAAAATCATGCTCCCGGTGATATAATTATCCTAAACTTTTTTTTGACAACAAAAATCCCAAACTTGTACATATCTGACACATTTACCCTACGTCAATGAACACTGCTAAAAATTTGCCTTCCAGGACAGTAGAAGGCAAACTATGTTGATGTGGCACTTATATGACTTAAGCAAAACAAGGACGACGTCATGTTGACAGAAAAATCATATGACGGATGTTGACACCTAATTTTGCCAGTCTAGTAAGTCGTCACTCTCTCAGGAGATATAAATGGGCCAAAATGGCATACAAAAACAAGAGAAGGACAATTAGGTGAAATAGAAAAATTATTAGAATTATTATTTGAAAGCGCATAATAAAAATTTGCTTAATTAAGTGGTATCTGCATTGCTTTACACTGGTCATTAATAATAGCTTGAGGGGCGTTCCCTGACATGCAATCAAGCCAAGCCTTAAACAACTAGATGAAAGAGCTTGTTGTCTAATTTGCAAGCAAATCCTAACAAAAGTGATTGGCCAATGACCATGATGGTTGACGCCGACAAATAGAGCAAAAGGCATGCCATATTTATTTGTCAAATAAGTATCTTATGTGACTACATCTCCAAGATATCTATATGTGTCTCTTGATCGTGCATCTACGCAAAAAACATTATGCGGTCTCTGTTCATCATCCAAATCAAGCATATAATAAAAATTGTAATTTTTCAACTCCATGGTTAAAAAATAATTGATAAGTGCTTGCCCATCTCCTTCTTGCAATTACAACTTTTTTGTACTTTGTAACATGATTTGTAACCTCTTTTTTTTTTTTGATTTAAGTTCTCATGCCATCCTTTTTCAACAACCAACGCTTGAAATGGGAATAAGGACATTAAAAGTGCCAAAATACTTTATATTTTCATTGTGGGTCAAGTGAACTTTCATATGCTCCTAGCTTTGAGGCAAATAACGGATTCCTCCTTACACTTGCTGTTCATTAGTTAATATGTGGCCAACATCTTTTAGTTCACTAATCATGTTTGACATACGCCTCAAATGTTATTTCATGATTTGTCCATGAGGCATGTTATAAGAGTCCAACCTTAGAGTGAGCTGTCTCAGTTTGATAATAGATATTTAACCAAACCTGGCTGCTAATGCTGCCCCGCATGACTTTGGCAATGTCAAAGTGCCTGAGCTCCCGCATGCATGATATCATTTTCCATTCTACTCAGAAACGTAATGCGAGCAATACATTTGTTTTTCTTCTATACAGTAAATGCTTCTTTATCCCTTCTGTGTTGTGTAGTATTTCCATCTTCCGGTTCTTCCATAACTAGATTAAGAGCTTCTAGTGCTTCTTGTGCTTCAAACACATACTGGATTTTCATATTCCAGATTTCATAATTTTTGCCGTTCAGTTTCTCTCCTTTGTGGAGCTCAACTTAGATATTCTTATTTGCTGAAGCCATTAAATTCAAACACAAATTTTTTTTTCAGACATATGTGCACGAATTATTAATGCCTAACATGTATGCATCAATTTTACATAAACTAATTACATTAATGAATACTTTCACATAAGGTTTTACATTCGAAAGATCATTATGTTCCCAATCATCATCTAAAATCCTTATTTGAAATTATCATTAATATAATTATTTATGGAAAATTAAGTTCTTTAGAGTTACTAAAACTTTCTAGAACTTCTCACTTATAATATCACATGAATAACACAATATAAAAAACAATGCTATTGAATATACATTAACTAAATATCCCATAAACAATGCATAAGTCTAACGAGAAAGAAAATATCAACATATAAAAGTTTGCTAGTGACAACATATCTTAAAGAAATAACGTCATTATTTCTTAATCTTCATAAAAACAGGGATAGACTCATAAAAATCCAAAGGAAATTTTATAGTTGAATTTGGTAGCCAAGGGAAGACCATTACTGGATGTACTGATTTGCGCTAGGTCAGATTCATTGCATGTGTGTCTTCGTTGCCCCAATCTTTATATACTATTTTAGAAAAGCTTCCACAAGAAAATCATATTGTGGACATTCGTCAAATTCCCAAAGATCATCAATGATTGTGTGCAATTCTTTAGGAAGTGTGTTTCTCAAGGCCTCGATTTTGTCAGCATTTTTCATAAGGTAACCTTCCCAAATTACATGTTGTATCATTTTGTTGATCTTGATAACATGTTCTAACATGTCAATATTACCATCCCATCGATAATCGGCCAATTCTTTTCTTGACCTTAAAAGGTTCAATTTCTATGCCTCCATCCTTGGTATCTTGGGAGTGTGAATGGTTTGAACCATTGTTTCTGTAACAAATGAAGAATAATAAGGGATTACTCACAATCCATGATACAACAAAATATTGGGAAATTTTATTTATTTATTTATCTATTTTATTAGTATTTATTTATTATTTTAATAAAAAAAATCAGGAAATGGAAGAAAAGTAATTTTGGCGGAGAGGAGGGTTGCAGGCGTGCACGCGCTTGCATGTCCGCCGCGTTAAAAAAAATCAGTGACTTGCGGTCATGTGCGGGGGCGCATGGGACAGTCCTCGGAGGCGCGCTACCCACCATCTTGCTTGTCTCAATGAGATCTATCATCCTATGTGATGAAAAACAATTTTCATCGAAAAAAAAGTTTCGAGAAAGACCCAAACAGTACGGTTGTCTTCAACTTCGAGTCGCTTCTAATTTCCAGGTTCGTATTGACCATCCATACAACAATTTCAGGGCATTATTAATGATCTACTTATCAAACAATAAGTAAAAAACTCGACATCAAAACAAAGCAGAAATCATAACGTGAGCTCTTATACTAATGAAAGGAAAGATTTTCCATATATCGAAGGAAACATATTCCATATTTCAACACATGAGAAACATGCCCAGGAAATTCTTGTATTACTCATCGAACTGGGTATTTCACATCTTGGAACATACCTTATTTCCATAGATTTTTTTTTTTTGGTCTGTCCTTATTTCCATAGATTAAATGTCCTTATTATAGCCTTGAGAGAGAGAGAGAGAGAGAGAGAGAGAGAGAGAGAGAGAGAGAGAGAGAGAGAGAGAGAGAGAGAGAGAGAGAGAGAGAGAGAGTTCTTCTTTCTTGCTTTTGTTTTCTTCATTTGTTGAGAGAACTACACAAAGAAACCTTTCTTTCACTTCTTCACACACACAAAAGTGAAAGAACGTAACCTCTTTTTGGTGGTTTCATTGCAGCAAATAACTGCATTTCACTTTTGCAGCATATGAGCTGGGTTAGCCCAACATGGGCGGCCCACCCCTAAAACCCATTAATTTTTATATCCTACCCAATCGAAAAATTATCTTGCTCTTTATTCCCCGGATCTGACATTACAAATTATATTCGTAGTATATGACCTCATCTAATATGTTCGAAATGCACTACCAAGCATTTAATCGGAGAATTTGTATTTTACCATCGACATCAAATACTAACTTTTAATTCAAAAGCTCACATGGTGGATTAAAATGTTTTCAATTTTTAGTGGGACCTACTAAGTTTACTATAAAATCTATCAAAATCATGATTGAATTGGATTATAGTGCACGCAAATAAAATAATCCATTCATGATAGGAAGAAGAATAACCTTGGCCATTACGCGCTTAACTAATGGTCTTGTGCCATTCATGATAAACGGGTCGTTCTGAAAATTGCGCAACCTAATTTTGTCCATTCCTTCTCAACGGTTTGTCCACTGGAACTACCTCGGGGTCAATCCAAACTCGCTGGATAACCCGGGTTTGGATGAAAGTCGCCGATGGCTTTCTCTTAACAAAGACTTTAAACCTAGGCCCATGCAACTTGCGACATGGGACATGGTCGACGACTAACGACAGGTCTTCGCCAACGCCAGAGTCAATATAAAGTAAAGGAGTACCAGAGCGAAGAAACTTCTTACATAATGACTAAAACGTTTGGCCGGCGAATAAACTTTAATGACGATTTTTGTAATATATCACTCAAGAATCTTTCTCTCCTTTTCGTTCATCTCATTCTCCATTGTTGCTTCAAAGACCAGGAAGCTCCTCTCCCTTCTTGCCCCTTCGAAAAACCCAGAAAAGAAAAAAACTGAGAAAAGCATCCTCTGCAAATCTCGGCACGTGGGTTTCAGTTCTAGCATCCTTGGTGACCCATTGAAAGTTTTGGATTTTTTTGGCTTGTTTTGGTCTTTGAAGGCAGAAAGAACAAGAAATGGGGATTGATTTTGCAGGAGCTGCTGTGGGAACAGCATTCAGCGAGGTGTTCACAGCCGTTAAGACCGTAGTGAAAACCATTAGGGCGTTTGGTTCCGAGCTCAAGAAGATCGAATCCACCTTGAGAAAAATAGAACCAATCATCAAGGAATGGGATGAGTACAACAAACGGCTGGACCGTAGTCCAGAAGAGACGGTTCCAATCAAGAACCTATTTGTTGGAGGCAAAAGACTGGTCGAGAAATGCTCGAGGATCCACCCACTAAACTTTTGCAAGAAGTATACTCACTCGAAAGACCTGACCCAGTTCGATGCGGCAGTCCTAAGAGAGTTCCAAATTTACTTGCCGCTGGTGAATGTGATTACTGGCAAGCAGACATTGGCGGAGATGGAGGACTTCAGGGAAGAGGTGAATGAGCAATTCAAGCAGTTGGTCCATTTGGTTCAAGCGAAGGGCGGGCCGCTCCAGAGCAGGCTCAGGTCTTCGGTCAACCTCGCAGCCCCTGAGGCGCCCGATTTCATTGTCGGGCTGGAGATGAAGGCGTCCTTGAGGGAGCTCAAGGAGCGGTTGCTGGAGGAGGGAGTGTCTGTGATTGTTGTGACCGCTCCACCCGGGTGCGGGAAGACCACTCTGATTAAGAAATTGTGTCATGACACGGACATTGAAGGTATGTGTGATTAGTGCTTTGATTGATCCAGAACTAATTAAAATAGGGATGAATTTATTGACTGATCCTTGCCAATTGGTCACCTCTAATAGTTTTTCGGTTCGCCATTTATGTGTTAGGAGCTGTTGTCTGAACAATGTTTCACTTCTGTACATATTTGAATTATTGAATCCCGTTAGCTATTGACAGTTTATTGTAGATGTGAATGTTCGCACCAAGAATTGCTTGGGTATACGCAGATGGATGTTTCATCAAGTAAAAGAATCCTTTTCTCATTGTTTAATTTCTAGTTTGGTATCATATCCAATCTGACAGATCTTTCCCAAGCTTTTTTAGACACGCAATAACTGGCCTCTGTTTGATTGAGCTGAGCCCCTTTCTTAGTGAGCTGAGCCCTCCTCTTCACACATTATAGACTTCACACTTGATATTTCTGCTATATGGTATCTACTTAGCTCTGTTTCTTATCCTGCTGAATCAATAAGCTAAAAAGTGTTGTGGCAAATTACGATACTCTTTGCAAGAGATAGGAGTCAGACTAACTGTGGTTTGCATATAGGCAAATTCAAAGAAAACATCATGTTTGTCCCCGTATCGAAGAAGCCCAACCTGACAGACATTGTCCAGAAAATGATTCAACATAAGGGTGGTTTCGAGGTACCTGTGATTGAAACAGAAGATGAGGCAGTCCAGTACTTGCAGCAATTGCTCAATGAAATTGGACAAACTCCTGTGTTGCTTGTGCTGGACGATGTCTGGACTGAATGGGAGAACGTCCTTGAGAAATTTGTCTTCAAGAAGATTAAAGATTACAAGATTGTGGTGACATCAAGATATGAGTTTCCTCGTTATCGTCCTGTGCATCGACTGAACCCACTGACTCATAGCGAAGCCCTGGAACTTTTTCGTAAATCTGTTACTGTCGATGATAAAAGCATAGATGCACCAGATGATGAGCTCTTGGATGAGGTATACTCTTTCTTGTGTGCATCCATTATCAGATTACCTGATAAAATCAATCTGCCTACCTTTCTTTCGTCTCTCTTTCATCAAAGAGAGGCCCTAAAATTGTACTAATCATGATACCTATAAAGTTCCAATAATTGCTTCCATCTTTTTTGTGGCAGATGGTGAAACACTGTAGGCAATTGCCATTGGTTATTACGGTCGTTGCCAAGTCCCTCCGAGGAAAGGACTATATATTCTGGAAAAGAAAGTTTCGTGAATGGTCTGAAGGTCATTCCCTTTTTGATTCGGACACTGACATTCTAGCTTGCCTCAAGAAGAGCTTGGACTATATGGATGGTGACCCTTGGCTCAAGGAACGTTTCATGGACCTTGGCTCATTTCCAGAGGATAGCAAGATCCCCGCCACTGCCCTTATTGACATATGGGTGGAATTGTACAAGCTAGATTTCGATGGCGTGCGTGCCATGACTGACCTCCATGAACTCGTTTCTAGGAATCTAGCTGATCTCGTAGTCACCAGGTATGGCTCTGAAGTTCGTTTTGTTCCCTCATTCCAACTATTCTAGTTTTTTACTGCTCTAAGAGTAGCTCATCAAATTCTAGATGGCATCTGATTAGTTTTTCCTGATACGTGACGGTTACAATGCATGTGTGAAATGGACCAAGGCATGATGAGATCTTCGCACTGAGATTGAGAGAGTAATTTGCGCCAGCTGATGCCCATAACTAACCCCAATAAGTTTTCCGGTACCGAGACAAACTATCCTGTTTCCCCGAAAATGGGCATTTTAGATGTTTCGAATCCACACCACCTGACCTTCAGCTATAGTGTGTTCCGCATTGTAAGGGTCAAATGATTTAGACAAAGTCCTGTAAAGGACATTTCTGACTCCTGACTTAATTTCTCAAAAATGGAAACGATCAGATGTCTTCATTTCCTATAGAACTAATATCATCAAATGCCTTGTACTAAACTTTAGCACAAGAAACTCGAGCACAAATGCTTATCCAAGTGTTTGATTGCGTACATACAGGAGAGATTCAAGTGATGACCAAGAATCTTACAGCGGCCACTATGCCCAGCAGCACGATCTGCTCAGAGAGCTGGCTATCATGGAGTGCAACAAGGGGGAAATAGGGGAGAGACAGAGACTCATCCTAGAGTTGAATGGAAATAAATTTCCCGACTGGTGGAGCGAGCAAAAGCAACAGCCTCTCGGTGCTCGTCTAGTGTCCATCTCAACAGGTTAGTATCTCTCTCTCTCTCTCTCCAAGACCCGTAGGGAAAAATTCAACTGGTTGGTAGTCAGTTACCTTCTAACCTTCTTCAATCATAATGCAGATAAAACATTTTCAACACCCTGGCCAAATCTTGAATTGCCTAAAGCTGAGGCTCTTGTCTTGAACTTCCAGAACGACATGCAATCCAAAACTTATGCTTTGCCTGAATTCATTGAGAAGGCAAATCAACTCAAGACACTGATAGTAACAAACTACAGTTTCTTTCCGGCTGAGCTGCGCAATTTCCACGTCATTGGGTCCAATTTAACGAGGATCAGGCTCCAGCGTGTCACGGTTCCTTTCCTGGGCATGGGAAACCTACGCTTGCGTAGTCTGAAAAAGATATCCTTTTTCATGTGCGACATCAGTCAGACTTCGACGTCGAACGACGCCAAAATCTCCGATGCAATGCCAAACTTAGTTGAGCTCGACATTGACTATTGCAATGATCTTGTAACATTACCCGATGGCATCTGTGAGATAAAGCCTCTGAAGAAGCTTAGCATCACAAACTGCCATAATTTCTCTGCTCTCCCCAAACAGATTGGGCAATCGGCATCCCTCGAAGTGGTCAGGCTTAATTGCTGCACAAGCGTGTCGCAGTTGCCGGAATCGATTGGAAACCTCCAAGAATTGATATCTCTCAATATATCTGATTGCCTGAACTTAAGCACTTTGCCCAATCAAATTGGTCAACTGGTTAATCTCAAGAGGATGAACGTGAGAGGATGTTCGAGTTTGTCCGAGCTGCCACGGTCGATCGTGAACCTGAGGAACCTGAGGAAGGTGGTTTGTGACAAAGGAAAGGAAGTCATGTGGGAGCCTCTAAAGAGCAGTCTCTATAGCTTGAATATAATAACGTCTGAAGAAGAGGCCAACTTAGATTGGTTGCGTGATTAAGAAGAGAGGGCGATCAACTGATGATTCATCGACTTTTTCTCCATGTCAAATGCTGTCTTTGAACTGTTTTTTACGCTTTCGTTTTATGCGGACGGCTGAGGCATTGTTGACTGGACCAAATAATTGATGAGTGGCGCCACGTCATTTTTTTAATGTTTCCTAGTCAGAATTTTGTTTTCTTTTATTTTTTTCTTCTGTCCATTCCTTTTCTTTCTTTCTGCTCCCTCCACCTTCGTGCACCACCAACAACACCGCTGCAAACTATAACCACCGCGTCCCTACCGTCACCATCGTTGCCGACACCTAACTCGTGGCGCCATAACATCACGACCTCTTCAGCATCGCCTTCTCTCTCTCTCTCTAACAACAAGATTCTCTCCATCTCCCAAATTTGAAGTGCAAACTTGGATGCGAGCCGCTGCAACCTCATATTTGAGGTCGTGGCGGCCTCAAATCAGATCGAGGTTACGAGCCTCAGACCTGATGAGAGAGAGAGAGGTGCTTGCAATGTCATCTGAGCAAAGCTTTTGGTGGTGTTTGAGCGCGGCAGCGGTGGCTGTCTGAGTGGCGCAGCGGCGGACAACCGTCGCCGGTGGTGGCGTTGCTTCGGCAATGGTGGTGCTGCGGGGGAATGACCAGTAGAGGATAAAATGAGGTAGGAGAGAGAGAAGCTTGCAGAAAAAAGGTGAGGCTTATTGCGGTTTGGATTATTTATTTAGTTTTCGTAAATTCCTCAACAGGAAATGACTTTAGTTGTCCCTAATTATTTTAAGGGATCCCTATCTTTATCATTAAGTCATCCACTCGATTTGAGCCATTTTTTACTAGGAATAGCTTATTAGTTTGGCAATTGTAAGCTGTTGGTTTTCATAATTTATTCAACGTCTAAAGGGTGGCGAAAGTAATATATTCAATTAAAAATTTTAATCTGGCGGGTCATGATGTTGGGTCGCTTTTTATTTTTTTGATATGTCATATCTTTAACTCTCTTCTCTTTTTCTCTGCCTCTTGTAGTATGTGGGAGTTGAATACCGCATCTGTGATACTAGTGTCTCCATTCCCTAATCCCTTTACCAGTAGGGCTGCATGCCTATTGGCAATGTTGGGTCAGTTAGCCATGTTGAAATGTGCATATCATGTAGAATAAAAGACAGGTCCTTGAAATTAACCACAAGTTCAATAACGTGGAATCATTCTTATACTGAACTGGCTTCCAAAGAAGCATCTAACTAATTAGCCGATTATTAATGCGCCTTAACATGATCGTTTTTTCAATTAATCGCTTTTGTCAAGTCTTGTGTGACATATAGAAATAAATCGGAAAACAGAAGAAATATACTGCTTCCGGAAATTATTTGAAAGTAATTTATCGTCTTTCTTTTTTTTTTTTTGGTCAACAATTTATCGTCTTTCGTGTGAACTTTAATTATATTATTGTTCCTTCTAGATGGACTGGAGCGTCGTTGATTAGCTACTGGTGTGAAAAGAACAAGAGAAGGTATGAAGAAGAAAACTGTGAAACTGCGAGGTATGAGCTGATGAAGTTTCTACGTAGGGTCCAACCGAAAAGACGACATATGTGTACTATTTTAGAGTTTTTTATGGTCAAAAAATTAATTTTTGGTAAATTTATTACAGGTGTATCAATTTGAGGTTTTTTATGATATTAACACTTATATTACCACAATGTTTTATCGCCCAGCGCATTACTTCATGATTGGTTTCTTCCTAGAATGTTGTGGCTCTACGCAGTCTACGTCTTCGATGTTTTTCTTCCCCCAGCATTCGTATAAATATTCTCCAGTTAATCTGATTTAGACAAGTCGAAATTATGACTCAAAAAAGAAATTCTTATGCAATGATGCATCCAATTCAAGAAGTTAAGTTATTGCAAGAGAGAAATATATAGATGAATCGACTAAATTTAAGAGGTAAACATTGTTTGAATAAGCAATCAAGAGAAGGGGTAAATTGGTTCTTTTAAGAGAACACAGCCTAATTTTGTAGAATCAACCCCAATAAATATCTGCTTCTATTCGTAAAATGAACTAGCGATAGAAACAGTAGAAATTAAAAGAGTTAGGGAATTAAAGGGCATTGTAGGGATGCTAGCCCTTCTCCTCACGTAACAGAACTCCCGAACTACAAATCTTTGATTTCACAAAAGACCAGTCACCTTCATATGCACACCTATATAGTTTACTTCTCTAAAAACTATTTAGGACCTTTGGGGTCTAATTGGCCTAGATGAATAAACCCGACTAGTGGCGACTCCATTATTTTCAAATCCCAAAAAACACTCCTGTTTTTTATACCACGCTCACTCGGTACCGCGAAGAAAGGTCCTGTTGAGCCCACCGCTAAAGCGGCGCTACGTCGAACGCTAGCGGTGCACCCGAGCCTGGCTGTGAAGCAGGATGTCTGGTACATATGTATAGAGGGGGTGCTTGGTTAAAACTTTTCAATTTTTGGCGGGATTTTCTAAGTTTACCATAAACACTAAAGAAAAAGTCTAAAAAAAAACCCAAAAAATTTGCTCCATGCAGTGGTACATTTACCCTAAACCTTTTTTTATGACACCAAATATTCCAAATTTGTATTCGTGTGACACATTTACTCTATGTCAATGAGTACCGTTAAAAATCTGTTTTCATGGACGACGGAAGGCAAATTGTGTTGACGTAGCACCTACGTGGCTTAAGTGATACAAAAACGAGGTCGTTTTGGCTGAAAAGTCATATATTGATGGAGGCTAAATGTATCACACCGATACAAGTTTGTGATTTTTAATGTCACAAGAAAAACTTTAGGATAAATGTGTCATAGTGGGTAAAGTTTGAGGTTTGTTATGTCGCAAAAAAATTTATGATAAATGTATCACAGTTAACATAATTTGGGGTTTTTATGGCTTTTTCTCTAAAACCTATCAAAATCATGATTGAAATGGATTATTGGTGTATGTAAATTGAATAATCCATTCCTGATCCGAAAATAAGTAGCCATTGGCGGTACACACTCAACTAAAACATCAAGTGCTAACCGTGATAAACGGGTCGCCCTGAAAATTACGCAGCCTTCGTTTTTTTTGGACATTGAAAATTACCCAACCTAACGTTTTGTCCGCTGATCTGCCTCGGGGTCAATCCGAACTCGCTGGATAACACCGGGTTGGATAAACTCGCCTATACGGACACGTGCCGATTGCTTTCTCTTAGCAAAGACTTGAGCCTGGGCTCCCGCAGCGCAGCCTGCAACATGGAGTCAACGACTAACGACAAGTCTTCTTCTACCCTTAAATAACAGAATACAGGACGGAGTGCCAGAGGCTTCCATTGGAAGCAAGAGGATCTTTACTTTCATCTCATTCTCCATTGTTGCTTCAAAGACCATAAAGATCCTCTTTCTTCTTGCCTTTGCGAAAGAAAAGCATCCTCTGCTGTTCGCTCGTTTCACGACGAGGAATATCTTTCACCGAAACTTTGATTTTCGGTTTTTATTAAGATAGATTCTGTGGCTTGATTTCTAGGAGAGTTGTGGCGAAAAACAGAGTGTAGCACATGATTATATGGAACGGATAGAAATCGAATGGATTGAAAATGGATCTGAGATCAACAAAGTTCCAAGCTACGTTACAATACTCCTATGAAAGCTGTAAAGGACTTGAAAGTTAACTAAAGTTGCAGGAAGCTGTAAATGCAGGAAGTAAAGGTACAAATGAAACTAAAGTGCAGATAAGCTTGAGTGTTTTTGCATTGTTGTTGATCTCCCTTCTTCCTTCTTTCTTCTGAGTATTTGTATCTCCTCATATCTTGTAACTGCTTGTCGGTTACTTCTTTATTTTCAAACTTTGAATCTTGGCGCTTCCAATAACTGCATTATCTAACCACGTTTTCGAATTTCATTGTCTGCCAAAACTTGATTTCAACCGCTGGGACGACTTCAAATTTGGATAAGTAACTCCCCACGATCTGCTCGTGCTTACTATCTCCGCTTTTTGCTCATAACTTTCTGCTATCATGATTCACGTGGCTGGGCCGTGATTCATCATTACCGATTTTATGTAATTTTGGTATATTCCCGAAGTATAGACTTTCCATGTTTCGGTAAATATCCCGATTTTCACCAATTACCGAATTCGGGATATGATGCCATTCACGCTTGCTTCCCAACATGTTTCTGAATTTTATCCAAACGTATTTCGGAAGATGGCTGATTTCCATTATACACCAGATTCCGCATTAAAGCCGACTAAGAGTCTCTACCGATTCTTATTTTGGTGTCAACAGATGCCCATTTTAAAAGGATTAAAAGAATTTTTAATTCTTTTAAATGCCAGAAATAAAAAGGGTACTTACTTTTTACTCTTGCTGTCGTTTCGTCACCTTGTTTCGCACGCTTGTCCTTTCGTCTTCAAAACACTTCTTCTAAAAATCGTTCCTTTCCTTTCTTCGTTCTTCTACATCCTCAACTTCTCGACTCTCTGCAATCTCTCCCAACATTCGTCTAAACCCTATGGCTTCCAAAGCTTCCAAGGATCAAACTTTTTCCTTTTCCGCATCAGATGCCCTTGACCGGTACCATCTATTCCGAGATTCCGAGGATTTCAACGAAGAATTTCATCTGCTCTCTGTGGAGAACGACTACGAAGATTCTTACATCCTTGGCCCAGCAGTTCACAATCACTTCTCTGTTCCAAAATGCCTGTCAAGCCACTTTCCACGTCACCAATTTGAGGTACTTCCAGTCCACGAATCATCTATTTTGGCGTATCAGTGGCATTCTCGTCCTCCTCGCCTTAGGGCTTTTTCTGACTTTGAGCTTGATTTCTACCAATGGTACTTTCGACTCCTTCCTTCTAAGGGTTCTCTTTGGGATACCCTTTTGATTCATAATGCTCTGCGTCTTAGCTGCTTCGATTACCATTTGAATCACAAACTAATCAGCGCATTGTCCTGTTTTTGGTCATCTTCCACTAACTGCTTCTTTTTTCCTTTATCTCCTATGTTGGTAACTTTGCTCGACGTATATTGCCTTACTGGGCTCACTCCTTTAGGTACAGACCCATCTACCATGTCTCCAGATTCTCGTTCGCTGCTTGGTAGATTGTCTGATTCTGAAATGACCTATGGGGCATTCATTAAGAAATACTTTAGGAAGGAAAATATAGTTACTGACGAGGAGCAC